AACTGCTGTATGGAAAGTGAATTTGCTCTGTAAATCTTCACCCAAATAAAAACAAATAAATTAAAAAAAAAAGTTATTCTAGAAAAGAGATTTCATCTAAAAATATTGGCTAACAGGCAACTAGCTTAGACTATACAGGTAAGGGAAGGAGTTTTAACCCATCCTAACATAAAATTGAAGGAGGGCAAGGAACCGGACAGTGTTCTGATAAAAAAGCACACAGGTTACTAGCACCAGCCCTGAACAAAAGGGCACAAGAAACAGGGAAGAAGAGGTTTCCTCTTTGAGCACAAGTTTTCCTCATAAACAAAGGGAGACATCCCAGATACAGAGTAATTTGGAAAACAGAGTATATCAGAATCAATTTCCATCCAACTATATTCATCTGCTAAAAGGTGGGTAGCTGAACCTACCAGCCGCTCCATGGAAGATGAGGCAGTCTGTTTTTGTAAAGATTTATAGCCCTGGAAACCCTATGTGCAGTTCTACTCTGTCCTATATGGTCACTATGAGTTGGAATTGACTTGATGGCAGTGATTTATTTATTTTTTAAAAATTTTCACCAAGAGAGTAAAGTGACTGTTGTTAGGTGCTGTCGAGCTGGTTCCAACTCAAAGCAACTTCATGTACTACAGAATGAAACACTGCCCAGTCCTGTGGCATCCTCAACACTGTTCCAAATCTCACAATTGCTGCTATGTTTGAGCTCAATGTTGCAGTCACTGTGTCAATCCATTTCAATGAGGGTACTCCCACTAATCGTGATGCTGGCTTCGATACTAAGATAAAAAATATTTTATCATATTCAAGAAATATACACCTGTTCCTATCTTGCTAAATGAGTGCTTACCAAGAATAAAATGATGAATTTTTCAGCATGTATGGAGATGATATGATTTTTATCTTTTGCTACATTAATATAAGGAGATCTGGTGAAACAGTGACCCTTCTGACAATACGACCAAAGTAGGTCATATAAAGTCTGGCTATTCTTGTTTCCAAGGAGCATTCCAGATGCACTTCCAGGACAGATTTGTTAGTTCTGGCAGCCCATGGTACTTTCAGTATCTTCACCAACACCACAACTCAAAAGCATCAACTCTTCTTTGGTCTTCCTTGTTCCATTTTTCTAGCTCTCACATGCGTATGAGGTGATTGAAAAATATCATGGCTTGGGTTAGACACACCTTAGTCTTCAAAGAGACATCTTTGCTCTTTAGCACTTGAAAGAGGTCCTTTGTAACAGATCTGCCCAGTACAATACGTTGTGTGATGTCTTGACTACTGTTTCCATTGGTGTTGATTGTGGAATCAAGT